CCAAACTTAAGAAAACACTAAAACGATTATACACCATGACCAAGTGAGACTTATCCCTGGGATGTGAGGACGGTTCAACATATGTAAATCATTAATCACATCAATAATTAATCATGTTAATCACATCAATAAAATGAGAGGTAAAAATCACACATTTATCTCAATAGGTGCAGAAAAGCATTTAATAAAATACAGTATCTTTTCATAGTAAAAATCCTTAACAGATTGGGTATAACAGTAACATACCTCAACATACTAAAGGGCATATATAATAAATCCACTGCTAATATTCTAATCAATGGGAAAAAATTACAATTTTGTTTTCAGATCTGGAGCAAGACAAGGTTGCCTACTCTCAGTACTCCTATTCAATATAGTACTGGAAGTCCTAGCTACGGCAGTTGCACAAGACAAAGAAATAAAAAGCATCTAAATCAGGAAGGAAGAAGTGAAATAGTTGCTGTTTGTTGATAATATGATCTTGTATGTAGAAATCCCAATGAGTCAGTCAAAAAGGTATTGTAACGATGATTGATTTTAGTAAGTGGCAGTTTACAAAATCAGTATACAGAAGTCAGTGGCATTCCAATGCACTAATGATTAAGCATTAGAAAAAGAAATGGTTTAAGGAGAGCTAAGATGCTAGTGTAGTTGGAGGACCCTTCTTGTCTTGTCCCTTGAGCATAGCTAGATAACTATCAAATTATTCTGAATACCCAAGAAATCAACCTGAGAGATTGACAGAACAAACTGTATAACTAGAGGGAGAGAAGAGGCAACACTGAACTATGTAGGAAGTGCCGAGATGTGACTTGTGGGAGAAATGGATTGTGGGTGCTGCAGAGGGGAAGGAGCCCTGGTTGCAGAGAGAGGCCAGAGAGAGTGGGGTGCACAGGGATATGCACAAGAAAATTTCCCCAAGGGATTGGCTGGGAAAACTAGAGAGGCTGATTTTTGTGCTCATGCAACCAGTGGGACTCAAAAGACTGGAGCTTTAGAGGTTGACATGTTTGGCTGGGAGAGAGACCTGAGGGCACTACTCTACTCCTGGAGAGAAGGCAGACAAGCAACTCCGGGGGTAGATGGTTCAATCTGAGGATTGCCCAAGGCACACCAGGAGAGACTGTTGGCTCTTCTTGGAATGCATCTGTGAGAGACGGCATTCACAGAGATGCCTCTTTAAGGAAAACAGAGCCAGTGGGCACCATTTTCCTTCTCTGCCTTCAGCATAGGAGCAGAGATACCTATTGAGGGTGATCAACCCAGACACTGGCTTTTTACCCTGTTTTCCTCCAAATCCCACACCTCTGTGCTCAGGTGCAACTGCTGTTATGGGTCAAAACTGTCTGTCCCAGCTCAGAGAGACACTCCCCCAGAAGACCAAGGCAGGCCCCCACCACATCACATTCCTAAAGTTTAGAGTTTTAAAAGTCTGAAAGCTTGGCTAAGATAGAGCCCCAGGAACACTGCACTGGTCCCAGCAGTCTAGAAACCTAGAGACAAAGTGTGAAACAGTCATTTGGGAAACATTAGGGGACATGAGGGGAAATTATTCACTCTCCTGGAAGTTCTTTGAGAGAAGATAGCACAGAGAGAAGACAGCACAGCAGATAGCATAGATAGTCCACTCTCTGGGGACAAAAGAGCTGGCTGGCACCATTTCCCTCCCCATCTCCACCCCTCCCAGCATAAAAAACTTTAATAAAAGCACAGTGCCACGACTGACTGACTAACCTGCTTGCACCACATCCTACCACTCTGCACTCTGCTGTTTCTGCTAGTCTTGGGCAAGTGTGCTTAAGATGGGTGCAATGGGCCCCTTCTGCAAAGTCAGCAAAACTCCCTACCCCCACCCTGCACCACGTTCTGCAAGGCTTCAGTTATAGTGGAAGTGGCATCAGATCTCACTTAATAAACTGATCAGATCATGCCTAGTTAAAACTCACCACACTCTGGCTAAGGTCCAAAAACTGCCCATTGCAAGTAAGGTGAGCCTCTACAAGTAACTGAATGAGGGATAAAGCAGCCAAAACATAGTAGCACACCGCACACACCAGATACACTCCTTTAAATGCCAGGCCCTGGACACTATATGATCTCTTCTTCATAAAGTCATTACTTTCAGAAGCAAGAAACATAAAAGGCTTTTCTAACACAGAGAAGAGGACAGGCACCTAGACAAAATGCCGAGATAGGAGAACTCATCCCAAAAGAAAGAACAAGATGAGATCACAGCCAGAGATCTGATTGAAACAGATATAAGAAATATGCCTGATGGAGTTTGTTAGTTTGTTTGTTTGTTTTAAAGTTTATTTATTTTAAGAGGGGGGAAGGGCCAAAGAGAGAGGGAGAGAGAGAATCCCAAGCGGGCTCCATGCTGTCAACACAGAGCCTGATGTGGGGTTCGATCTCACCAACTGTGAAATCATGACCTGAGCCAAATCAAGAGTTGGACACTCAACCAACAGCCACTCAGGTGCCCCCTGATGGAGCATTTAAAACAACAATCATAAGTATACTTGCTGGTTTTGAGAAAAGCATGGAAGACATCAGTGAGACCCTAACACACAGAGATAAGAGACTGAAAAAATAGTCAGAAACGAAAAATGCAATAATTGAGATTTGAAACTATCTGGGTGTCATAACCACAAGGATGGAAAAAGCAGAGGAATGAACAAATGATATAGAAGATAGAATAATGGAAAGTAATAAGCTGAACAAAAGAGAGAAAAATATATGGATCATGAGAATAGACTTAGAGGACTCAATGACTCCATCAAATATAGTAACATTCATTTTATAGGAGTCCAGGAAGAACAAGGAAGAGAAATGAGGGAAGAAAGTTGTTTTTTGTTTTTGTTTTTGTTTTTGTTTTTTGGGTAAATAATTGCTGAAAACTTCGGTAATCTGGGTAAAGAAACATATATTCACCTCCAGGAGTCACAGAGAACTCCCATCAAAATCAACAAAAGGAGGCCAACACCAAGATATATTGTAGTTAAGTTTGCAAACTATTGTGATACAGAAAAAAAAAATCTTAAAATCAACAAGACAAAAGAAGCTGTTAACTTACAAGGTGACACCCATAAGGATAGTTGCAGATTTCTCCACAGAAACTTGGCAAGCCAGAAGCGAGTGGCATGATATATTCAATGAGCTGAATGGGAAAAACTTGCTGCCAAGAATACTCTATCCAGTAAGTCTATTATTCAGAATAGATGGAAATATAAAGAATTTCCCAGACCAACAAAAACTGATGGAGGTTATGACCACTAAGTCAACCCTGCAGGAAATGCTAAAGGGGACTCTTATTGGGAAAGAGAGACAAAAAGTGACAAAGATAACAAAAGAACAGAGAAAACCTCCCGAAACTATTACAAAGCAAGTAATAAAATTACACTAAATGCGTATCTATCAATATTTACTCTGAATGTAAGAGAGTTTCTTTTTTTTTAAGTTTATTTTTAGAGAGAAGGAGGGGAAGAGAATGAGAACAAGAACCAGCAGGGAAGGGGCAGAGAGAGAGGGACAGAGGACTCCACTAAAAAGAGAACCAGAGGCCAACATCCCTGATGAACATGGGTGCAAAAATTCGCAACAAAATACTAGCAAATCAAATCTAATAGTACATTAAAAGAATCATTCACCATGATCAACTAAGATTTATTTCTGGGCTACAAGAGTTGTTTAATATTTACAAATCAATCAATGTGATATAATACATTAATAGAGAACCATATGATCCTCTCAGTAGATGCAGAAAAAGCATTTCACAAAGTACAACATCCATTCATGATAAAAACCTTCATCAAAGTAGTGATGGGGGGGAATGTACCTCATCATAATATATGCCTTATGAAAAACCACAGCTAATATTATCCTCAATGAGAGAAAAGTGGAGCTTTTCCTTATGGTCAGGAATAAGACAAGGATGTGTACCCTCACCACTGTTATTAAACATAGTATTGAAAGTCCTAGCCTCAGCAATTAGACAAAAAGAAGTAATAAAATTGCATCTAAATTGATAAGGAAAAAGTAAAATTTTCAGCATTTATAGATAATATGATACTCTATATAGAAAACCCTTTAGACTCCACCAGAAAATACCTACACAAATTCAGTAAAGTTGCAGGATACAAAGTCAGTGTACAGAAATCGGTTGCATTTCTGTACACCGATAATGAAGTAGCAGAAAGAGAAATCAAGGAATTAATTCCACTTAAAATTGCACCAAAAACGATAAGATACCTAGAAATAAACCTAACCAAAGTGGTGAAAGATCTGTACTCTGAAAATTATAAAACACTGATGAAAGAAATTGAAGAGGGGGCTCCCGGGTTGCTCAGTCGATTAAGTGTCTCGCTCTTGAACTTAGCTCAAGTCTTGATCTCAGGGTCATGAGTTCAAACCCACATTGGACTCCACGCTGAGCATGGGGTCTACTTAAAAAACAACAACAAACAACAAACAGACAAAAAAGACATTGAAGAGAACAGAAAGAAATGGAAAAACATTCCGTGCTCATGGATGGAAGATCAAATACTGGTAAATTGTCTGTACTACCCAAAACAAGCTACACATTTAATGCAATCCCTATCAATAGGCCACAAGCATTTTTCACAGAGGTAGAACAAACTATCCTAGAATTTGTATGGCACAACAAAAAACCCCAAATAGCCAAAGCAGTCTTGAAAGAGAAAAGTAAACTGGTGGCATCACAATTCTGGACTTCAATTTATATTACAAAGCTGTAGTGATCAAGACAGTATGGTGCTGGCAAACACACAAAAAGACACATACATTAGTGGAAGAGAACAGAAAACCCAGATATAAACTGAAAATTATATGGCCAATTAATCTTCAACAAAGGAGGAATGAATACACAAAGGGAAAATCTTCAACAAATGGTGTTGGGAAAACTGGAAAACAACATGCAAAAGAATGAAACTGGACCGCTTCTTACACTATCCATAAAAATAAATTCAAAATGGATTAAATACCTAAAAGTGAGACAGGAAACCATCCAAATCCTAGAGAAGATCACAGGCAGCAATCTCCTCGATATTGGGCGATAGCAGTTTCTTTCTGGATATGTCTCCTGAGGCCAAGGAAAGAAAAGCAAAAATAAACTATTGGAACTTCATCTAGATAAAGAACTTCTACACAATGAAGGAAACAATCAACAAAACTAAAAGACAACATATGTATTGGGAGAAGATATTTGCAAATGACATATATGATAAAGAGTTGGTTTCCTAGATATATAAAGAAGTTATAAAACATAATACCCATAAACCAAATAATCCAGTTAAAACAATGGGCAGAAGACACGAATAGACATTTTTCCAAAGAAGACATACAGATGGCCAATAGACGCATGAGAATATACTCAACATCAATCACTATCAGGGAAATGCAAATCAAAACTACAATGAGAAATCACCTCACACCTGTCACAATGGCTAAAATTAACAACATGGCATACAACACTGGGCTCTATGCTGACAGTTCAAGACCCTGAGCCTGCCGCCGATTCTATGTCTCCCTCTCTCTCTTCTCTCCCCCATTCGTTCTTTTGTTCTCTCTCTTTCTCCCTTTCTCTCTCTCACATACACACACACACACACACATTGAATGAAAAGGTTTATTACTTACATAATTGATGTCTCTGCAGAGAATAGGGAAGGCCTTTCGAAGATGTCTGAAATGTCTGAAGAGCAAGGAAAGGAAACTGGTCTGGGGTTTTATTCTGGTTAGGGGTGGGGCTGGGTAAGAGTTCCTGTAACTTGGCAATGGTGTGTGTGATTTGAATATCTGCTGATGCCAAATGTGGGAACTTCAGGGCTTTCTCATCAGTTTACCCAGATATGAGTTAAAGGGAAAGAGCGAAAGAGGGGTTAAAAAGCTGTTAGCAGTCAAATATCTCCCATCCAAAAAAGGAGTTGTATTCCCCATTATTGTGCTTTTTCTAATGTCCTTTTTACATTCCAGCCTAGAGTTAGTGCCATATATTAGAAAGAGCACAGGCTTTCATATCTGAAACATGAGAGGCCATGTCTTAAGGAATACATCTATGAGGACTGGCAAAAATGAAGCTCAGAGTCAGCTCTACTCACAAGATTTATAAACCATTCTAAAGATAAGAGAATTACAGAGATAAGAGATATATTTGCTTTATTTAGGCTGCTTGACATCCCCCTTAGGTTTCTTAGAGGAAATGTGTTCAATGTGGTAAGAATGACTGGTGGTCAGGTGAGGAATTCACCAGGTATAAATTGTACCCAATAAATGGTTGAAGGTTATCTATGGCACTCAGCAAGCTTTGACCCCAGCTACTCCCTCAAACAACTTCCTGATAGAGGAAAAACAGTAATTCTGCTGCTCAGCAAGCCACATCATACAGGTTCCGATATCTGAACAATTTGCTATACTGTAATCTATGATATTTTCCTGACATCTGTCCCATAAATAAATCAACACCACCTCACTTGCATTTGCATTATAGGTCCTAGGATTTTTCCTCTTATGTTCGATTTATATCTAGTCCCATGGGCAAACTGGGATATGGTTTACCTCTGCCTAAAATAACTACCTTTGCATTTTTGCTGTGAAACTTACTAGGGGATTGGATGATGATGAGTTTGGGGTGGAGTGAAGAAATGGGAATCACTTAAGTCTTAGAGTTCAGTGACAAGATTGTCTTTCCTCAGGACATTTCTTCCACATCCTCCTCCTACGTCTTTCCTCCAGCCTCTCAGACTAGTCATCCAGAAGAAAGAGAAAGGACAAAGGAATACTTAAGTCAGGCTCTCTTCAGGGGAATGAATGAAGGTCAGGCTTGTGGAAACAAACTTTCACTTCCCTTAATGTCATTCCTTCTGTATATCTCTTACCACAGTCTGGACATTCATTCAATCTCAGCATCTTATTTGTCTCTGGATTTTCAAGCCTAGAATGGGGAGATAACTGATGTATTCTAATCTTCCTTGCTCTAAAGTCTTCTGGCTTCTTCCCTCCTGCTTTCTCTTCAAAAGACTCTTCCATACACAGATAAGGAATAATAAGATTAATAATTCTTTTTCCTAAGACCTCAGTAAATCTTAACTGAACATCTACTATGTATGAGGCCCTGTGCTAATATCACAGAAATATGTGTGAATAAATTTGCCATTGCCTGTACAAACCTTGTATAATGGGGCAGGGGGAGGAAACAGATATGCAAGTAAATAATGAAGTTAAAAGATGGTAATTACAAGAGTTGATGAATGTCACCCCATGTCATACACTGAGAAAAGAGCGACTAACTTTGCCTAACTTGTTAGCAGTTAGCTAGTTCAAAGACTACCTCCCTGTAAAGAATTCTTGGATGAACTACCAGTTGCATTCTCTATTTGACCAGTTGACCAACTTTCACATTTCATATTTTCCGTGTCACTTAACTCATTGTATTTTTGCTCCGTACTGGACTGTGAGCTACTTGAGAGCAAGAACTGTGTCAATTATCTTTTAGGCATAGTTGGATTTGATTTGCAAACACTATCGTAAAGAATTTTTGCATCTTCATGAGTAAGTTTGGGTTATACTTTTCTTTCCTTGCAGTGTCCTTGTCCAATTTTGGTGGCTTGATGAAATACTCTTACAAAGGATATCGGTTGGGGCGCCTGGGTGGCTTAGTCGGTTAAGCGTCCCACTTTCGCTAAGGTCATGATCTCGCGGTTCGTGGGTTCAGGCCCCGCGTCGGGCTCTGTGCTGACTGCCAGCTCAGAGCCTGGAGCCTGTTTCAGTCTGTGACTCCCTCTCTCTCTGACCCTCCCCTGCTCACGTTGTCTCTTTCTCTCTCTCCTATAAATAAATAAAAATAT